ATGCCTGCCAAATGAATATGAAAGGTTTTTCATTTGAGTTAGCGTCCAAATGATTTTTGAATGGGTTTTCTTTCTTTTCCGTACAGAAAAACCAATAAATTTGAATTTTGATGATTGAAATGTACTGTAAAAGCCAAAAAGTAGGATGGTGATAAAAAGGAAATCAATAAAGACGAATCACCGTTGTAATATTTTCCATATGATTTAAAAATGCGTCGAATAAATGGCAAATGTGTCATGCGTTCAAATGCTTCTTCTTCTGTTTTGTATGAGTTGAACGCATCGCATTGAAATGAAAACAGAAATAAATAGTTGACGCAGGCGCGCAGACAGCTCATTTTTGAAGTGTTGTTTTGTTTATTTCAGTTGGTGGCCAGGCCATACAATGACGACAGTGTTGACATTTATGTCGGAAAATTTGAATTGGAAAATCGCATACGAAAAGTAAAAGATAAAAACAGGAAAATACAGCGATTATTATTCCGTTTCGTAAAATGTATTGAACTGAGAGTTGTGTATGTGTCAAATGAGAAAATTGTTGTCACAAACCCACGTAAAAAAATTCACACAAAATTTGCATCTTCGCATATCTTTAAAACATTTTCCCGAGAAATTCATTCTAAAAATATGGTGTTCCTCTGGTTGACCCGATCAAAATCAGTTTCAGTAGCATTTGATCGTCTTACCGAGATACGTTTCAATTTACATCAAGTGAATTTCTCTGTAGAACCAACAAAAAACGCGCTTGACGTACGACATTTTAAGTTGTCTAAGCTCCTTTTATTACACCAGACGATAGAATGTCATAAACGATAAAAAAAATGTTCACTTTTTTTTTTCCTCTTTCCTATCGCATTCTTGGTGCTTTAAATTGAAGTAATAAAACGACCAGTGGACATTTCATTCTCTTTCATTCACAATTCTAGTTAGAAAGTCAACCTTACCGCTGATAAGTGTATCTAAAGCTAGTTTTAGTTAATTTGAAAATCCCTATTCTCATTTGATGTTGTTTATTTTATCGCCAACATAATGAGCAACAAACGAACACAATGTAAAAGAAGCAACGAAAATATTTTCAAAACAATAAATCTTTCGGTGATCACATTTTTGTTTTCTAACACTGTGCTGTCAAACACTTTTCATGTTCATGTCATAGTCAACAACAATTTGTGCGTTCTGATTCTTCATTTTCAATTTTTTGTTTCGCTTGACCTTTGACACTTTTGACTTCATTCAAGAAAATGAAGGCGACTAAGTGCGGTTGTGAACCATCATAAATAGAACTGTAAATGAAAAGAGAATGAAATTAGTGGTAATGAAGTTAAATTGAATACTATCATAAGTATCATATGAAACCGCAACGAAAGCAGAAATGTAATGTCGTTTAGGTCTACAGTTGTTTGGCATACTTCAACGATGATCAAACAAAGTGTACACGTTCTCAGTGCGTTTGTGAATTTTTTTTCGTTTCAAAGATTTGTAGACTCAGCAAAATAGGCCAGTCAAACTGAATTTCATTGCTTAGTAGGACGTAATTCGCACACAAAAAATGGATTACTCGAAAGTACAGTTACGGGCACAGAGAGCGATAAATGATCGTATATTAGAACGATACCCAATGTCAAATAGTGATTTATTTAGCAGTGAAAGTAGTAGTGAAGACGATATATCGGATTTAGTGTATCGAAATCTTCGTTTTAAACCTTCCATGGAACTGCCATTTCGAATGGATAGTTTAGGTGACGGTGTGGTGCCCGCCGTATGTCGTCCTTTGTCTGAAAATCGACCACAATCGGCAAGTGCTTGCGCAAAATGCAATCAAATACGAACGAATCCAAGATTTCGACCAAATTCATTACATTGCTACGGCAAATTACCAAAAGAACATAAACATTGTGAATCCAGTGACGATTCAAGTGAGCATGAATCTCAAACACCACAGAGAAAACCATTTTCGATTAAGCGTCGACGTTCACGTCTCAAGTGTAATGCGAGGTAATCAATCAATAGACACGGAAAAATATACGATCTATATTGAAAGATGACCTACAGTAGTTTTGATTGTCGTGTCAAAAAATCAAATCTTATGGGTGCTAATGATTCGCCGTGAAATTTGAAAAATATACAAACTTTTGAGATATCTATTTTTAATCAAAATATATTGCTTCTGACTTGAAAGAAAAAAACTAATGGAAATGAAACAAAAGTCATTAAAAATCCAAATTTGTTTTGAATATCACAATTTATCATTTTGAGTTTGTGATCTTTTTGTTGAAAAAAAAAAAAACACTTCAAAGTTAAATTTAAACCTTCAAGTGAAAGCTTAATTTATGTTATTTTATTTTTTAAAAATTTCAGTGGAGGCGCAACACAGCAACCAACCGAAACGAATGGTCGAAGTACTGCTCCAATTGCACCGATACGTAAATCGTCGACGTTAAGTTCAGCAGCAACGCATACACCAGTAAATCAAACAGCTGTTGCATCTCCGCTAGTTTCGCCATTAAACAATAGCCTCAATAATATTTTAAACTATTCGCCTCCACAATATTTGGACAAAAACAATGTCACAAAATCAAATTCATCAATCATTTCGAATAGTAATGCAAACAATTTAAATGAATCAAATAACTTACATGCATCATCGTCGACGGGAAATGTGAGCGAAACGAAAACGAAATCAAGTTCAAGTAATGACAATGTTAATTCGGGTTCGACGCATAAGATTTATGGAAGCTCTTTGCTATGCTATCAAAATGTACCACCGCCATCGCCGACCAATTCACAAACCAATGATAATACCAAAACGAATGGAACCGCCAGTCAGAAATCGAGTGAGGACACTAAAAAAGAGATTAATTCATCGTCTGCAGCAACTTTGACCGCATTGTTGCCAATTGGCGATTCAACCACTTTACCAGTGAAAAAACGAAGTAAACTTCGCCATCGATTGAGCGATGTCGGAAGCTGGGGCCTGCGGCGAAAAGATCGCGCACATAAATATCGATCGATGAACATTGAATCGCTTGAAGTGCTCGGGGATCCAGTTATTGAGGACACATTTTTCGTAAGTACCATTTTTTTTATTTCAATTTATGTTCATTTAAGCAGCTTGAAAAAATATATATTATATATTATTAGCAGTATATTCAGTTTTCGAATGGGCGTTTATTTCGATATGATATCATTGATCTCGTAAAAAAAATGAGTTAGAAATCTGTGGCAGTATATTGTGGGTGATAAAATAGACATACTGTTACACAGCATTATAATGAAACAATACTCTGCTCAACAGTAACGGCTTACATTTTTGTCATGGAATGACACAGGAACCAAATATCATTATATTATAACTGTGTGTTTATGCGCATTGCGCAGCCTTTTCCGATTTCACTATGGATGGGCAATATCCGTGTTTATCCAATTATTAATGCTTTCGTTCTCACTCAGGCCTACAAACACATGCACCACTACCACCACACGCCAACTTATCACAACAAATATTCATTTTCCAACCGTTACCATAAAATGTTTTTAAAGTGCGGTATCTGGCCAAGTTTTTGTTGTTGCTTCATGATAATAATTCAATTGACAACTTGAAAATCAAATGCAATACATAACAAAACAATCAAATTGGAGTTGAATATGTTTCGTGATAAAATTGTAAAAATGAACACATACACAAAATCGTTTTATATTTAATAAAATAATGGTGGCTATGGCGTGTCGATGGCAAACATTTTTTTTCGGAGTATGCATTCGATGTGGAATGATTGCAGTGAGTTGATTGGAACGGGAGTTTCGTGTACGCATAAAATGTTCGTTCATTGAATAATTGTTGAGTGCGTTTTCATTGGCAAATTGCAACGAAAATTAAATTAATTGTGTCGTTCGTAAAAATATATAAAAAAATAAATGTGCTTAATAAAAATGTTGCATAATTTTCCGTGTGCGTGATCGATTTCTCAATAAAAATCTTGCAAATGTTTTTCCCATTCGAAATTATTGCAACGTGTCGAAAATTCTTTTAGTCCACACTACATAGAAATGCACTTGTTTTCATTGGCCGAATAAAGTGTTGAACATTTTGTTTTATATGCAAAATTCGCGAGCATAATAATAAAAACTACAGCAATTTTGTGAATTTCTAAAGATTCATAGTTTGGTGTGTCGACGGTTCTTCACATATTAATTGTGCACACCGAAACCGAATCATTTAACGTTGAAAATAGTGCATTCGTTGGTAGATTTTATATCGAATTACTAGCGGTAAAGAAAATATAATGAATTTGCAGAAAAATACAAACATAAAATCGAAAACCGACAAATGAATTTTGAAGCTACTGGTCTACCATACTCGATTGACTGCATATGCATATAGAAGAAGAAAAACGAAAGTGAGAAAAGAGCCCGAATGGAATTGCGCATGGAATAGGAAAAAAAATACAGTTGAATATACAGTTCGAATAGTAAACACGCACTTGTGGTGCTTCGACTCGGTCATCAATTGTGTCTTGCGTACATTGTTATTGTTATTGTGTTACTATTTTCGATATTCATTGCAAGCCCTAAGCCACGATTTATCGTAGAATTTTCATTCAGTATAACATTGCTTGCGCCGAAATAACGAAGCACATTTTATTTTGTCTAAGGGTTAACTACATCATCCATGTAAAAGTCAGTATTATTCAGCCCTCTTATAAAACGTAATCTGTTTGCATCGAGAAAAAAAGTGAAAATCTGCTTGAAAAGGGTCGTTCAGTGTCATTCAGCTCAGTACAAAATTCACGCAAAGGTCATTTCCACCGGAACATCACATAAATATTGAATTGGGGAAACAAGTAAAAAAAATTGGATGACATGAAATCATAAATAAAATAAAAATTAAATTATTGGTTGATTTGAAAGTGGAAAATGGTGCAAAAACAGTGAAGGTTTGCAAAAATTGATATACGACATAAAATAAATTCATTGAATTTATCACAAAATGCAAATGAACCATTTATCCAATTAAAATTTTAAATATTTACCATTAAAAAAACACTTTCAATTTAAGTGGAAAGCAACCAGATTAAATTGACAAAGCGTGTTGCAAACATATTTCATGCGAGTAAATTTATTGTGATGTGCAGAATTATGATAGAACACGAACGAAATGATTTGTGTGGTTCAATAGACATGTAGAGATGAATCACTCGCTATATTGCATTTTGCTAGTGTCCTAGTGTTATATGTGCGTGATAAAACGCCCCCTTTTTTCGTTAGCCAAATATTCAGAGACAGCGACAGCAGCCAAAAAACGTAGAAAACTCGAGGGGATATAACTAACATTGTGACGTTTCGGTTGTATATATGTGCATAAGTCGTCTATAACAATGAAATTGCCTACGTTTAGTCTTAACATATTCAAGCGACCGACGAAAAAGAAACGCATTATTACAACATTCGGAAAACGTGGTTCGTCGGCATCTTCGTCGGCACGCAAAAATCGACGTTCGTCTTCTTCGACCCGAAAATCGCGTAAACGCAGCATCACATACTATGCACCATCAAAATCAAAATTCTATCCAACCGAATATTTTCCATCATTGCAACAAACGTCTAGACAACAAGCAGCAACTGTTGAGACTACACCACTGGCAATTCAATCATATCCAACTGAACTGCCGCACACCGTCTCCACCGACAACGATTCGAAGCTCACTAGCTATTTAACAACGAATGGAACACTTCGATCGTATACGGCGAAACAAACATATTTGTGTGATAATGACTATGGTGACATCGTTTTACATCAACCGCCAGCATGGTATATGCAATCAAAACCACATCAAGACAACTACCAAACACAAACAACACTCACAAATAGTAAACATAATACGAGAGATGGTTCACATTTTACTCAACATCAGGTTAAATTGTACTCAAACGCCGCCATTGATTCGAATGGGAATTTACTTTATGATGACAATTGTTTGAATAATACGTATGGCCGTGCCGTGTATCCAAAAGAATGTATGCAAGGTGTGCCGTCGTCAATTCCATCAATGGCTAATGCCATTCCACTCAATGATTCGAATATTAAATACAATACATCTGAATTGCACAGACAATCTCAGCATAATTTATTACCATCGAGCGTGACAACCGCATACAATAACACGGTTTTTAGTTCGTCAAATAATACAACAAATGCCAAATGCCCACCAAATACAATCAATAGTTTTTATAATGCATACCAAACGAATGCCAATCAATTATCATCAATCAATTTACAGCGCATCAATTCGCCAAATTATAATGCCATTTTTCCATTTAAAAAGAAATCAGATCGACATCATCGTCGTCGAAAGGTAAGATTTTCGAATAAAATTTTGATCGATAATAAAATGTATATATTGTGAGATTCGACCCAGTCACATTTGACACATTTCTCATCGAATCGACATTCTTGCAAAAGAAAAAAAAACAGATCAATTGGCACCTTGAATTCCTCGAACTTACAATGAACTATATTCTAATCAGTTCAGCGAGCAAACAGCGATTGCACAAGTTCTTTTCAGAGTTTAAAAACACGCAAAGAAATAGACGAGGGATTGGTAAATGCATCTCTATAGGATCATGATGTAAAAACAAGTTTTACAGTGCATTTAGTCGTTTATTTATTGTACACTGTTGCGTCGTCAAGTTTCTGCTGTTTTTCCTTGATCATTCATTTACATCATTTTTTGCTCTCTATCTCTCTATCCCTGTCTCTCTCTCTTCTGTAGTGAATTTATTCGATTTTAATGAATTTTCAAATCAACGTTGATTTGTTTGCATGGAAAATTGAGGAGGTGCAGCAAACGATGTGTAAAAGAGTATTGCGGCAATGCTTACGCTTTCCTGTTTGAAAAAAAAAGATGATAAAGTGATTTAAGTATCACGTACAATAATATATGGAAAGACTCCCAACTGTTGCGACTGTTTCATGCAAGCATTGAGAATGAAACGCGTTGGTTCCTATTCTCTCTCTCTCTCTTTTTCTAGTATTGCTTGAAATACACGCATAACAATGGAAAAAAAGATGAACGAAATAAAAGTCTGTGCAAAGTGTGTGCGGCAGTGTGTACGGTGCTGACTGAAGGTTGAAATAACAATAATATATTTGTTTTGTGTTCGGTTGTATTTTTTTCATTTCAATTTTTATAATTCAAACCATGGTGCGGTGGAATGCCCGTACATTCCGAAGGAATGACAGTTTCGACTGGCTAAGGCGATAATGTGAAGCATGTTGCTTTCAAAGAATGCTCAGACGCAACGCATATACAATGGCATTTTCTGCATCAAAGCATAGTTTCATGGAAGCCAAACTGCCTTCTTATTATTTCTTTCAGTTGCTATTGTCGTTATTGTTTCGTTCGGGAGCCCACTCAAATATTTATGTGTTGGTGATCAACTTCAAACAAGCGCAGTTGATTGTAGAGTTTTGGTATCTTCAGCTGCAGCATCGATAAATTACCTTTCCTTTCCGCGTATTCAAACGAAGAATCAAGGAATTCCATCATAAAAATTCTTCATGTGTCTGCTTTGGCATCAATGTATTTGTATTCGATGTGGGTTGCGTGTAAATATTGGATTTTTGCTTAACGATAACAAACAAAAAAAAAGCAAAACATTCACAAAACCATACACAAAAAACTGCAACTGTACATTTTTTCTGCATAAAATTCCACGGTGATGATTGGGTTTGAAGTTTTTAGCAAAAGATGTTATGCGTTAAAGTTAGAGATGATTTATTTCAGAACCTCGGTCAATTTAAATTTTAACCTCAATTACCGAAGTCGACATCTGTTCGGTGCATCAGCTGATTTGATTGGAATTTGCACATTAACGACTTTTTTCATTACTTGCACAAATTTTTGACCCAACCAGCCAGGTTAACCGCAAACATTTCCGCTAACTGTAATATATGGTTTATTTTTCAGTCAATTGTAGTTTATGTATCTTAATATGGCAGTATGACCATTGGGATTCGTGCACGAAATGTAGAATTTTGGTGTGTCCCAAATCGAATGCTTAGCTTGTTAATCTCATTGATTGAGTAGCACACATTCAGCAAGTTATTTAATTGGATTACGTTTGACTCTATTGGACTTTCAGTGCCCAATTTTTATTTCCAAAGACCAGTTTTTCGCAGCAACAGCAAAAAAGCCGAATAATAAGACTAGTCTTTTTTGCTTAGACAAACAATTCTTTTCCATCGCATAGTTACGTGAATATTTTCTGCATGCATATCAATGCGATTGGAAAGATTGCGCCCGTCAAGTGGCTGTAGTATATATTTCGGTAAATTAGTGCCTATTTGAATGCAAAATGAGTGAATATCGAATCAAAAAATATAAATATTCTCTCGCTTGAATGTGATACGTCGAAATACATATATATCTGTTACTTTTCCTATGAAACGAACGTAGAGTCAGTCAATTGCAGGTATAAAATAATAAAGTGTTACGAAATTCCTGAATAAATATTTACCGATCTGCAGCATTCAACTTCAGAATGGTTTTGTTTATGTTGTATGTATAAAAAATGTATGTTGCGACGACGTTGTGACTTAAAATAGAAAAAAAAAACTATATAAGAGATATAGGTATGTAGCAAACTGTTGAAAGCATTCCAACTTACAATTAGTGTGCTTGAATCACTGCATAATGCGAACGATAAAATGTTTTGCAATGAGTAAACACATTCGCATAGTCCTTAATGTCTTAAGTCGTGCAGATATGCGCCAAACCAAACCGACCGAGAGTGAACGAACAACCGAATCAATAGTTCAGTCTTAAGGTATTCTCTCCCTCTCTGTCGCAACGTTGCAAACAAAACGAAAGTCAAAGCAACAAAGAAAACAGCAAAATGCAAAAAACCGAACCGAACCTACCTATAAACGATATGTGAAGGAGATAGATAATTTCAAAAGCAAAACGTACATGACTAACATACTTACGTGTAACATGCACACACATATTTCTATATTACTAAAGTATGTTCTGTGCGCACTTACACACACATACACACACACGCACACACACACCAAAGCGACAAGAACAATGTGTATATAGGAAAAGAGAGAATCGAATAGCATCGATGCTGTGAAGAAAAATTGAAACGACGGGCAGAAAGAAGTAACGAAAGACTTGTTTCGATGGCTAAATGTTGTTTTTGTGAGTTTTTGATTTTTGCCTACGTCTTTCTTGTAGTCGCTTGGTTCCCTCGTTTGTCCGGCATCCATTTTAGTTTGTGTTGTGCATTGTGATTGAATAGACTCAATCGCATAGCGCGAGTCTTTTTTACACACGCATTTCTTCAATTTAAAAAAAAATATATTTTTTCCTTTTGGTTTTGATCGTTTAAAATCGACGAGAAAATCCGTGATTTAGTGATTTCGTGCGTGGATATTCGATGTTTTGCATCGTACAACGTCGAAAACGTGTTTAAATTCAACAAACAAAACTCGGATCAATTGACGAGTAACTTGTTATTAATAGTGCTGAAATGGTGTGTTTTAATTTATTTTATTTGAAGAATTTTTCGTATTGTGAAACATTAAATTGAAATGGAACAACCACAAAATGGATATAAGTGTATATTAAAAAACGAAAGAAATTATCAAAATTGCGCAGAGAATTTTGACTAAACGATCAACATTTTATAAGTGTAAAATTTCATTCGCGCATATAAAAATGGCAAGAGAAAAAAAAATATAACCAATCGAACTGAACCGAACTGAAATCGAAGAAAATAAATACGAAAAAGCACGGGAAAAAAGTCTTAAAGAAACCCAAAAGAGAATGAAAAGAGCAAATAAAAAAGAGAGAAGAAAAAACGAATTACCGGTTTTCGGTTCGCATTTTTTGGTGTCTTTTTCGATACTTCGATGTGTTGTGTTTTTTTATCTCGGTTTCTGTGTTTTTCGTCCCTTTTTCTGCTTTCTTGCCTTTTAAGTACTCGCATATGTGTGTGTGTGTATGCGGGATTTTTTCTTCTCTCATTCGCTCTTTCTCTTTTAGCAAGAAGTCGCAAAAAGCATTCAATGCTTGCATGCACTGTGATTTGACTTTGCGTGCACACGGCTATTTTATTTTAAGTTTTGGCCTTTGTTCATGCCAATCATCGAATGCATTCACAAAACTTCTTGAAAATATAGCGTCTCCTTAAAATGAACATTATTCTATTCTCTACCAAATTACCATTTTTAAAATACTTTTGAAATGTTCTTCTTCACAGGAAGAGTATATTTGAATATTGAAGTCAGTATGTATGCATTGTGACATTGTGATTAGTGCAAGGCTTTTGCTTAAAGCAAAAGAAACAAGAATAAATGAGCTCAACTGAATGGAATTCATTAAGTTTTTTTTTACATGGAAAAACAAATCGAGAAATTTCAAAGAGATTGTTACAGATCTTTCCGGCGTTTACTTTGTAGATTGTTTGAATGAAATGGTTTCTCTTTACTGTGGATTACTTCGACATGTCTACCTAATCGACATGACATGTTCATTTTTATTATTGTTATTATTGGTTTTACACGTATTAAAAATATATATATATATCAGATGGTACCCTTCTTGTTTGTCAGAAATACGGTAACAATTATTCGATTATTCCCCTTCTGTATCTATAATATGTCTGTCGTGTGCGTTGTCGACGTCTTACCGACCTATTTCACTTTTATCGTTGCTCGCATAACCACGAGCAAAAATGCAATTTTCGCAATCGGCAATTGCTTTTGCTATTCCTAGGGCCATTCAGCGTTTCGTTTTTATCAGCTCGTTTCCATTCGAGTTAAATGCATAACACAGACACACACACACGCGCCTTCATATTTGTTATGTATTTTATTCTGAAAGAAGCAAACAAAGCAGCTTAATGATACGACACCAACTATACGAAATCCAATGCGGCAATGTAATCGTATGCCCTGCTGTTTTACAAGTCGTATGCACTTCTTGCAATCACCATCGCAAAAAAACCAATCGTTCGACTGGACTGTGGTTGTACTATGACCAGTTTTGCCTGTATATATTGCTTTTGGCCGAGAATACATAAATGCTATGTCATGCTTGAATAAATGTTTGAATGCGATCCTTCAGCGACGCAAGAAAAACCACAAAAACAAAATTATTTGCCGTTGCCAGCACAATTTCTTCGTTAATGCTTAATTTATTTCTGCATTCATTCCCTCTTTACAATTTCGGTTCATTTCAATCCAATAAATTACTCAACCCAACCAGACATATTCTAACCTAATAATTCCCCAATGCATACCAAATTTGATGGAAAAATATCTATGTTGAAAAACCGAAGTGTGCAC